GTAACAATACTAACATGCATGCAAGAAATGAGCTTCAATTCACCATTAATGGACCAAATCATGACTTAGCTCTACAATGAAGCATGAATCATGCAAGAACTAGCTCAAACACATCAATAAAGGTTGAGTTCTCTTACCTAGAGCCTCAATTACTAGTGTAGGACCACAAAGCAACAATCAACCTTCAATTCTCTAAGTTGTTTAAGCCAAATCCCAAGAACTACACAAACTCTCACTCTCTCTCTCTCTCTAAGTCGGCAAAGCAAGGAGAAAGGCTGATGAAATGTTTATGTATGAGTGTAATGAGATGAGCCAAGTAGTGGGCCACTTAAGTGGCATTTAGGTAATTACGGCAAACTTTGCAATTAACTCATTTTAATCTAATTTAATCATACTTAATCAGTTTTCAGATAACTTCACCATAAATTTACATAAATTATGTTGCCCATGACACACTAATCAATTTTGGATTCGGCCGCCGATAAGGCCTTCAATTTGCAATTTAAACATACAAACAGGAACATATAGTCAAACAGTCAAACAGATAGAACACAATTTAACACACACATACTCAGTCAATTCGATTCCAATTTTCAGTCAGTCAGTTCAGTACCTTAGGCAGTTCAATTATCAGTCAAAATCAGTCTCAGTTTAACGGTAATCGATGGTTAACGGTAATCAATCAGTCATAAGTCGGTAAACAGTATGAGGGTTGTTACAGTCCAGCTCTTGGGTTCCATTTCAGCATGTTGTTGGCCCTTAACTTGGCATGTTTGAGCTCTGTCCAGAGCTGGTTTGGTTAGTTATGCTATGTATTGCATGCCACTTGTATGATGCTCTTAACTAGCCTTATGCTCTAGACCCTCTAACATGCCTTGTTTGTGTTATTTGTGTGATTTGGCATCATTAAACACTTGATTTCAGAGCATATAGCATTGTCATATTCTCATGCATATCACTCTTGAATTGCATTTAAGAGTTGTGCCTTTATGCCTTGCTTGTGAGCCATGAGTTGAGTATGCATTCCTTGCTTTTTGTGCCTACCTTTTGTTGAGTTTTGGCCACTGTTTTGGCATGCATGACCTCTGTCCGGGGCTTGTTTGACCATTTGAGCATTGTAGTACATGCTTCATGTGTGATACACTTCACTTGCCTTGATGCCTTAACTCCTAAACATGCCATGCATGCATTGTTTGCATGTTAAGAGTCTTATGCATACTACCTTAACATGCCAAGATTAGCATGTGGTTTGTATAACATGTTGTTTGCATGTGTGTTGCATTGCATTGTGTTTGGATTAGATGTCGATCCAAACACAAGGAACAAGGGATGTTTCATACTCAAAGTGATGAAACGCACCTCATTCCTTAGTTCATCGACACCCTTGATTGTGCATGATAGGGTGGAGGCCTCTCAAGTCTTGTGTATTACTTGTGCATTCATCAACATTGTGCAAGCTTGACTCTTTGGCCATCATGCATTGAGATGCGTGATTGGTGGCTCGAGAGTCGAGCACTACACTCCTTTGAGCTTGAGACATGATAAGGAGTGTAGTTGCACACACATTTCTTTGCAAATACACAGCCATGCCTCTGTTTGTGCTCTGTTGTAGCAAGAGGAGAAATTACAGGAAGCAGTGGCCGACCGGCCATCAAATCTGCTGACCGGCTACCAAGGTTGCCGATCGGCTATCAAAAATGGCAGATGGCCATCAACTTTGGCCGATGGCCATCCCTCTTGGCCGACCATCCCTTAGCATGTTCCTAAGGTGGGTCAGAAGCATTCTGGAAGTTGGCATAATTTTCAGAAGTACAGAAGTGTGCAAACAGAGGCTTCTAGAGGCACGATAGTGGATTTCCGAGCGAAGCCGACCGAGCATGCATTCCCCCTCGCTTCCCGAGGCCATTTGTTTAAATTTATTAGCTAAACTAGTTCATTAGCTTAATTATTTTGTAATTAATTAGTTAAGTGTTTAATTAATTAGTTTGGTTTGTATTTAA